GAGAGTGATGATGGAGGGGCTATCTTATACGTGCCCGTCGTCATGTAGAAGCCCCAGGTAGACGTCGCGGAGCCCCCAAACTTCATCTCACGTATCCCACTGAATACCATCTTGGTTTGCGACACGAAAGGGAAAGAAACAAAAAAACGCTTCAAAATTGGTTGACGTAGGACTCGAGACAGAATGGAACGTCGTCTAGATTGCCAGGCTGGCCTAGGGAAAAGAAGCTTACGTCGCGATCGTCGTCACCCCGCGTCCACACTGAGCCCGTTGGAGGGGTTGGATACGACAAGACATCCACTATGAAGAAGCTTGATTGATGGGCAGGCTCCAGTCAATATGCAGAGAGACGACTGTGATTCGTAACCAAACGACTAACAACGATGATATCCTGGTAGACCATAGGATGGTTCGGAGGGACTAGCCGAGGCTGGTAGGGGTGACTTGGATAAGCATCGGAGGGGGGAGATACTGGAAGGAACTTTGTTCCTTGCGAGCCAATTGCGTGAGTTGAATGTACCTTGAGATATTTTAGCTATCTACGGATACGTACTACTGTGGACGTTGGACTTGGGTACTTTGTCGGTGTAAGATCGGGTCAACATTGCTCCACTGACTCTTTCTCCCCAAGTTCAATCTTTCGGAGCTTGTCAGATTGCGCACCCAACTTTATTCAGTCACCTCACATCAACGACAATAAGTCACCCACGACCATCCTTGCTGGGCGAAGGAACTTGTGCTCGTCTTACTTTTCACCCTTCTTCTCCACTCCAGGGCCGTTATCCAATAATCTCAATTGACTTTTTTCCCCTCCCCATCGTGCCATCCTTTGCACCCGGCGGCACGGCATCCCTCGTACTTTTAGGTTCCCCACCGTCCTTAATGAGCTTCCTGTTTCGTTTGGCTGCACAATAAGCGTGTCACGCAAGCAATGTTGCGAAAGAAGAGTCAAGAAGCCATGGGCTTGGTGACGAGGTCCCTACACAGGAGGAGACTACCCCGTACGCGGTAATACATTCTGGATACTGCAGGACTGACTAGGTATCAGGGCTGGTAGCAGATCAAGTCCCCGACACCGCCGTCGTCCGCGATGCCGGTACTTGGTCTCATATCGTTTTGCCCTGATCTGCAGGCTTACGAGTCTGCCCCCCCTCTTTCGCGATGTCGAGTGAATCCTTCCACCGTATCGGGTGCAGGCCCGCCGGCGACGGCGTGCGGGCAGCGGCGTCTGCCTTGTTCAACGCTTGTCTTGCGTCTTCGGCGACCCGACCGGGTTCGGTCTTGTGGATTCTGATTGCAGTTTGTTCGTGTATCCGTAGATGGTTGGGGGGTCCCTCTCACTCACTCTCTCTCTCTCTCTCTGTCTGAGTATCTGTGAGGTTGTCTCAATCTCGGCTCCGACTCAACTCCTACTAGCCTCTTTCTGTGAAGCCATTCCTGTCAATCCCATTCAACTCCATCTCTCCCACTCTCTCTTCTTCGTCCCTCATCTGCGGTATCCGTAACTTTCCCCTCTATTCTCCCATCGTACCCCCTCCGGCTTACCTCAATCGAGCGTGAACGCGCACTTCTTCGTGGCCCCGACTTGTCTCCTCCTTCCTATTATCTCTCATCTTACGACTGCGCGCGTGTCTCTTGTTGACGTTGACAAGGTGCAATCATCTATTGACACGCGAGAGAGATACTTCACTCATACATTGTTTGATCAGTCAGCCAACAGCAACGGCATTACTCACGGTCACAGACGGGTGCTGAAGCTCTGAAGCAAACGAAAGCCCCGTCGCCGAAACTGTTTGACTCCGTTTCTTGGCGTCCGTTCTACCCGTTGCCCACGACACTGCGCGTATCAGCCAAGTCCCCTTCACGATTCAGTCGCTGTCACTTGCTGTCACTGTTTGGCCTGCCAGACTGCCACCGTCTACCCCGTCAGAGACTCAGAGTGCCCTGTCCCAAGGGGCAAAGCTCAAACATTAAGTGACCCGGCATTAAGAAACAGAACCACCAAACGAAGGCAACAAAACGCTGTACCTATTCCAAAACGGTTGTAACCCACAGAGCACAGACAATCCCAAGGGCCCCCAAGGGTACTCGACTCTGTCAGTAGACAAAAAAGAAGGGATCAAAGGGACTGAAATAGTAACAAACCGCCGCCATGCCGGCCCCGTATTCCGACAACCTGTACTCCGCCGACGACTCCGACTTTGACGAAGTCCCGGACGACAGCCTCGACGCCCACCTCTCACCCACAGACGGCTACTTCCAAAGCAGCACTTCATTGTCAGCCGGGGGAATATACCCTCCGCAGCAGCAAGAATCTCATTTCCACAACAGCGAGGACAACGTCACTGACGCGACGACGTTCCCCACGTCCGCCGCCGTACCGCATGTGCCCAACGTTCTCGTCCAAGACCCTTCGCTGCTGCAGCGAGAGCAACAAGAGCAAGGCCCCTCGTCGTCAAAGAAGGACCGCGAGGCCAAGGAAGAGACAAGGTTAAACACATCCTTCCATAACCACCACCACAACAACGACGACAACACAGAAGCACAATCACGTCACTACTCCTCAACACATAGGAGGACCTCGTCATCCGTCTCGGCCATTGACGACTTTTACGACGACGGGGCCTCCTCTACTGCCGCGGACAGCGAGGCGACGCCATCACATACAACATACACCTCCAACGTCCACTCCCATTCCCACTCTCATTCACACTCCCACGCCGCCCAGAGCTCGTCGTCTTATACGCCTTACTCGCCCTCCACAGACGCTCCACTGCGCACGCCCCAGACTCACTCGAGATACTCCTCCAACAACCCGGCCTCTCTGTTTCGCATCCCCAGCGAGGCACCACCCGCCTACACGCCATCTCCCACGTCCCCGCTCTCGTCATCACCCACAGAGTTTAGAAACTATCAGACCTTCAACAGCATCTCGAGGACGGCCAACAGCAACAACATCAACATGGGCGCACCCGAAGAAGAGAGGCGCCTGCTCGGCCGTGACCCTGAGAGCATGGGCGACGTGCCCTATGATGACAATGACGACGACCATGATCCTAGACCTCCGCCATCGTGGAAGGATAGAGTTCTTAAGAAGTTCCCTTGGGCCTCGAGACGGACGCTGAAGATGGTGCTGCTTGCTGCCTTGGTCTTCTTCACCTTGACCGGATTCCTTAGCATGTTGGCCTCGACTGTGATTAATGCGGTGCGTCTCAACTCCCATCTGCATCTACACCCACTACCTTTTCATGAAGCTAACTACCCACAGCCATCTGAAAAGTCTCCTGCCAAGGAGCCTCCCCAGCAATATGACCCCGTCACTGGACTGCCCATCAAAGACGGATCTCCCGTGCCAAGTGACCCCTCCAAACCCGCCGAGCCTGGCGAAGCCGTCCCTTGGCGTCCATCGAGCACATGCCTCCAAACCGAGCACCGCTTCGAGCCCAAGTTCTTCGACCTTACCTTCGCCGCCGACAAGGACATCAGCGTCCTCCAGGCCGTCGAAAACGACTCTCCCTCCCGCGGCTACCAGCCCCAGGTCTCGGGCGACTTTGTGATCCGCCGCCAGCAGGCCGGCCGCCCGGGTCCCTCGATCGAGCTCGAGGTCGTCTCCAACGACCCGGCCCTGGACGTCTCCGTCGAGTGGAACTCGGAGCAGCAGCTCATCGTCCGCATCCCGCAGCGCATCGAATGGACCCAGTCCCGCCGGCCCTGCATGACCGTCCGCGCGACCGTCTGGGTCCCCGAGGGCGCCTCCCTCCGCCACGTCCTCTTCATGGCCATGAACCTCGACGTCCGCGTCGTTGACGACCTCTCCGTCAACCTCGCAGACGGCCTCGAGATCGGCACAATGTCCGGCGACGTCCACTCCCCCGTCGAGGTCCCCTCCGCATACCACCTCAACTCCCGCGACATCCTCGTAAAGACCATCTCGGGCGACATCGTCGGCTCCTGGCCCCTCTACGACTCTCTCAAAATCAACTCCGAATCGGGCGACATCATCACAAACGTCTGGCCCCAACAAGTCCTCGACGCCCGCCCCCGCCCCGCCGTCCTCGAAGTCGCCACCATCTCGGGCGACATCACCGTCAAAGAACCCCTCGCCGCCGCGGCGGAGAGCAGCAAACCCGACACCGTCGTCCCGCCGCGCGACTACATCACCACTATCGACACCAAGTCCGGTTCCATCAAGGCCTGGGTCGCCTTCTCGTCCGCCGCCGTCGCCGAGAGCATCAGCGGCGACATCGCCGCCGAGTTCCTCCCCGTCTACAACGTCAGCCTCCTCCAGGCCGTCGCGGAGCCCGAGCTGCACACAAAGACGAAATCCGGCAACACGGCCGTGAAGATCCTCGAGCCCATCTGGGTCGAGATCCTCGGCACCGAGGGCGCGTACGAGGGCGAGAAGCCCCGCGCGAACCCGGATGAGCCCGTGGATATCCCAACGAACCCGCTCCCTATCCCCGACAAGATCCCGCGTATGCCGGGTGTGCCGTTCACGCCCATCGGGGCCGGGCCGTGGAAGCGCATCCCGTTGCCTGGCGGTCGGCACTTGGACGACGCCTGGCGCGAGGTGCGTCGCCACCCGTTGGGTGATGCCATCACCGCATCTTCTGAGCAGAAGCGTGCCGTCTCGATCAAGGACCAGCCCCCCATGCGCCACCTAAAGTCCTCGCACGGCTCCGTCAGCGGAAGCATGGAGCTCAAGTACCCGGCCTCCTGGGAAGGCACCGTCGAGGCCGAGAGCATCAGCGGCAAGATTAACATTCTCGGCAAGGACGTAAAGATTGACAGCCGGACGAAATGGCCCAAGGCCGTGCACGCTCACAAGGGCCAGGCGTGGAACTGTCAGGTTTCGTTGGGGAGTGTGTCTGGCGATGAGGTTCTTATCATCGGGGAGGAGAAATAAGCTAAAACAGACTTATTTCTTCTGAGGTATAGAAAAGGTGTTGGGATAGATGTCAACTCCATGTGTGCGGGAAATACGTGGACGGAGTAATCGCGCGAGCACGCGTGGTCTCGCGTGGTCTTGGCTGTAGGAGCAAAAAGAGAGGGAAGGAAAAAGGGCACATACATACCTTAATACCTGTCGTTACGATGGATGGACGGATGGAATGGATTTCAACGGCGGTTTTACGGACGAGGAAGCTCAGCAAAGATGAACTGAGCAATCTTCATACACAACCCAATTGTATTGCACGCATTTCTGGCAAATACCGACGAAGCGAAATCAACAAACCTCGAACGTTTTACTTCCTTTTTTATACTTATAAATAAGAGCAATCATCTTCATTGAAATTTGGCATACAAAGCTCTCACAGTGACTGCCAATTCGTTCTTCCTAATGCATCACAACTTAGTAGGTGGCTGTGGGGAATACAGGTAAACGTAACTAAATAAGGGGGGTATCTCATGTTCGTCAAACAGACTACAATCCAAAACTCGCTCTCGTCTCCTTCTCTTGAACCTGCTTCTTCCGCATCGCCGCCGTCATCATCCTCTTCTTCCTGCGAATCCCGCTGATCCGCTTCCAAACCCTCTCCTCCGCCGTGCTATCCGCCAAAACATGCCTCCTTAAGACAGCGCCACCGATGGAGGCGCCGCTGCTGCTCTGGCTTCTTCCACCGCTCCCACTTCCACTTCCAATCTCACTCACGCTGCTACTCCCACTACCGCCCCGATGCTGTGGTATACGACCCCCACCTATATTCTCGCGCTCAAACAACCCCATATCGACCTTGCGGTATCGCACCTCGTACTGAACCCACCTCTCGAGGCCAGGCAACCCGACGCCCAACGTCGGCAGGGCAAGCATCCTTAGCACCTCCTCGCCCGTCTTCTCGTCGCGGTTGACGGCGTACAGCGCGGGGAGCGTATACCGCACTTTCCCCGGCGCGAACCGCTTCAGAATGCCCTCAAACTCTGCCCTGCGGTCAGCGGCGCTCATGGTGGTGCCGGTGCTACTGCCGCGACCGCCCGTGATGCCTAGTCCGGGCGCGGCCCGAATCTCTGCCTCTTCTTTGCTTTCCGGTTTCTCCCCTCCTTCTACCCCGTCAGCAACAGCAGCAGCCTCGCTCCCACCACCCCCAAGACCCTCCCGAAAAGCCTTGCCGTGAATCGGCGCAAACGGCGCGATCCGGAAATACGCCTTCACCCGACCCCTCACCCGGATCCAGAACCGCCCGTCCCAGAGCTTGAAGCGCCGCCAGGCGTACCACCTCCTCGTCTCGCGGAACCGCGGCTGCGGGAGCGGCAGGCGGTCCAGCGCGGCGAGACGCTCGCGCGACATGTACTCTGCGTCCTCAGGAGATTCCCACTGGGTGGGCGGGAAGGTCGGGTGGCGGTGCTTGTCGCTGATGTTGGAGGTCGTCGTGAATGTCGTTTGCGGGAGCGGGTGCAAGGAAGGGTAGGGTTCGCGGACGAGGTACCATTTTGAGGGGGCGAGGGGGAGGAAGAGGATGGAGGCTTGGTTGAAGGCTTTTGGTGCCGGTGGAGGTGTTGAAGTTGAGGGAGAGCCTTCCACAAGAGTGGGAAAGAGTTTGGCGACGATGTTTTGGAGGGATGTGTGTTGAGGAGGATTCCGATCGGGCGAGACGAAGGCGACGAGTCTCTTTACGATGAACCCCGCGACGGCCCTCCGATGCGCGAGCCGTAGCTCCCTCCTCACGCCATCGTTCGCCGACTTCCTGCCCCTCTCGCGCCCGCGTCCTGGACCGGGTCCAAAGACACCCAGCTCAGGAAGCCGAACGACGAGCGTCCCGACATTCGGCTCGAACTCTGCAATAGCCTGCCTCTTGATCCACCGCTCAGCCTCCTGCTCCAGACCCCTCAGCTTCGCCCCGCACCGCGCCGACATCCTCAGCACATTCTCCTTGCGCAAGGCCGCGGGCAGACGGTGATTTCGCACCATGTGCCGCACCGCGTTCCTCGTCGTCAGCGTCACGTCTTTATTGGTCGCGTCCTCGAACCAGCGCACGTTATTCGCCTCGCACGTCGCAATCAGCCGGTCCTTGCCGAACTCAAGCAGCGGGCGATAAATCATCACCCCGGCATCCTCAGTGCGCATCCTCGTCATGTTCCGCGCCGCCGCCGCGGCCCTCGCTTTCGCGGATGCCGAACTCGCCGCGGAGAAGAGCCAGTCGCTTCCAGAGCTGTCGTCTTCGCCGCCGACATAAGGGCCCTCATGCCACCCCGTCTGTAGACCAGCTCTCAACTCGGCACCGTATAGCTCCAGATCCAGCTCAGAGACAAGCTGCCGCCGCATGTGCCTCCAATCCCGCTTCGGCGGCCGGAAGCTGATCTGCGGCATCCGCATCATCTGGTCGTCAACGTGTCCGCTCTCGTAGACGCCGTGCATGTCATAACACTCTGGTATATTCCCGGCCTTGAGCATCCCTCTCAGCCCGCGGCTGCCGTGACCGGCGAGCAACCTCATCAGCACGGTCTCGTACTGATCATCCTGATGATGCGCGAGAAAGATGCTCTCAACGTGCATCGCAAGACACAGCGTGCCGAGCCGGCGGTACCGCACCCTCCTCGCGAGGCTCTCGACGTTGGGCAAAAGATTCGGATCGCCTGTGACGCCCTCCGCCTTCCAATTCACCGTGTCCCACTGTGGCCGTATATGCCTGAAATTCCGCAGCTCCTTCACGACGGCCAGGGCTTCCTCGCGGGACCCCTCGCGCAGGCCATGGTCAATGACGTAGGCTGAGATTTTGGCCAAGGGGTTATCGACGACGCGCATGAGGGGGTTGATCTCGCGTAGCTGGTTAAAGAGGTAGGCGAGGGCCATGGAGTCGACGCCGCCCGAGATAGCGAGGCCGATGCGGCGCGGCTGGGCGGTGCGGGCATGGGGGAAGCGCGGCGGGGTGGCGGCGCGGAGGGCGTCGAAGAACTCGAGAAAGGTTATGGGCTTCGGGACCGGGTGGAGGATGAGATGGCGGGCAGCTGCCGCCGCCGCTGCTGTTGCGGTCGCCGCTGCGGTCGCGATCGGGGGGTTGGTGAAGGCCATTCCATCGCCTCTATGCTGTTGTGGTTTTGTTCTGTGCTGTGTCTCGGGTTCGATGAAGTTATCGTGGGTTTCCGTTTCTTGGGATGGTGCAATTGACGAATCAACGGTTGGCAGTCTCCAACGTGACGATGGGATAAGGGAAATGGAGCTTTCACCCGAGTAAGTCCCCCACTGCCGGAATCACAGAGCTCGGGCTCTTCGGAGGAAAGATTTCCCAAGCTGAGGTGCTCCCGTCACTTCCAGGCAAGCAGCGATAAGGATAAGGGAGCTCCCCCGGGCCCCGCGCTCGCTGATAACCCACCTTACCGAGCGGCGAGAGCAATTCAGACCTCGGAGAGTCGGAGCTCTAGCGCAAAGACCCCTGCCCTTTTTTTTTTCTGTCGCGTTACGTACAGGGACCGATTGAGCTCCGATATCTAATACCTCACGATACCATTCTCATCTCCTTCGTCATTCACTCCAAGTATCGTCTCCCTCTCAATTGACACAAATGTACTCTCAGTCGTCATAACATTCGGCCCGCCTCTCTATCGGCCATCCATTCTTTCGCATATCCAAGTCAATTGACTTTCGTCCGGTTGCCCTCGGTTTACATCCGTCAGCGTCCTAATTCTCGGCGCAATTCCGAGCACGCGACCCGACGATCTCGACGTCCACGAGGCTACCACCACCATCCGAGCCGTACCCTATCGAAGACATTCAGAGAGAAAAGGAGGAAAACCAAACTCTCTAAGGATCTACCCCCTCACGTGAACCACCTCCCACAAGCCACCCAAACCGCAACCATGTCCACCACCAACCAACCCCCCTCCTTCACAACAGCCCTCCTAGCAGGCGGAATAGCAGGCACAACAGTAGACCTAACCCTCTTCCCCCTCGACACCCTCAAAACCCGCCTCCAGTCCTCCGCAGGCTTCTTCCCCTCAGGCGGCTTCACCGGAATCTACCGCGGCATCGGCTCCGCCGTCGTCGGCTCGGCCCCCGGCGCCGCCTTCTTCTTCTGCACCTACGAGGGTTCCAAGTCCTTTATACACTCCCGCCTCCTCGCACTCTCTTCTTCAGGATCAGCATCGTCATCCACAAAACCAGCCTGGATCGACCCGGCAACCCACATGCTCGCCGCCTCCCTGGGCGAAATCGCCGCCTGCGCAGTCCGCGTCCCCACCGAAGTCGTAAAACAGCGCGCCCAAGCAGGCCAGCACGGCGGCTCCTCCCTCCTCGCCTTCCGCTCCATCCTCTCCCAATACTCCTCGGGCGGCGGCCTCTCCGCCGTCTGGCGCGAACTCTACCGCGGCTGGTCCATCACCGTCCTCCGCGAAGTCCCCTTCACCATAATCCAGTTCCCCCTCTGGGAACGCCTCAAGCGCTGGGGCCGCGAGCGCAAACAGGCCAAAAACTACAAACTCGACATCGACCCGGCCACGGGCGCAAACACCCGCCAACAAACGCAGTACGAGGTCAGCGCCGTCGAGAGCGCGCTGTACGGCAGCGTGGCTGGCGCCGCGGCGGCCGGCATCACGACCCCGCTCGACGTCCTCAAGACGAGGGTGATGCTGAGCCAGCAAAAGGAGAAGATTGGCGATATCCTGAGGACGATTTACAAGGAGCACGGGATCCGGCCCTTCTTTGCGGGTATCGGGCCGAGGGTCATGTGGATCAGCATCGGGGGGTCCATCTTCCTCGGCAGTTATCAGTTTGCGTCAAACACGTTGACCGGCGCCGTGATATAATAATCTTCCTTCTTGAGTGTCTTGGGTGGTGCGTGTAATGGGACGCATGGTTGTGCGCAAACAAGCATAGAGGCGCACGATGTGTAATACGCTGGATAGACGGCGAACCGGCCATGTGAAAAGGGAACAAGAATTTCTGTATTTGGGGGCCCTCAACTTGCCCTCCCGCTGTATAAACATACGCTTCGGGCATGCAGCCAGAAGGGCTGCCTGCGACTTGACAACTTTTTCGCTATGTACATTACTGAAAAACGCCATTATACCCGTACTGACTAGACATCACAGGCCATGGCCATTTGACTCACGTCGTACAGCAACGTGCAACTCTCGTGACGAAAATGCCCACTTGTACTTTGTGGTCCACGTGCCATCTCTATGCCAGTGGCACTCCCTAGTCGGCCGCACCCTGTCCACCATTCGAGACTATCGCGAGGCCGAGGCAGCCCTAGATGTCCCCCATGACCGTGGCGGAGTGAGTTCAGATGGCGCACGTTTCATGTACTGCTCTTGGTTGGCTTGCTTTACCACAATCATGGTTTTGAAGCTTTGCGGCGGCCGCATCTTTTGCAAGCTCACTTGGAGGTGTGGTCTCCCTTGCCACCAACCTGCCAC